ACCCATGCAGTACTTTGACAAATGGGCTTTCACAATTTCATTCATTGACTAACCTTTAAGCACAAAATTGGCTCCAGTTCTCTTGGGAATTACATGACATGTTGCTGGACGATGATGTAAGTATTTTCTTTTTTTAATTATGACTCTTATGCAAAATGCAAAAGCACCATATATGAGGACACAACTATAGGTGCTGCAGATGAAGATGTGGAGCTCAGTACAATATTACCTTTCAGGAGGTGCTGAAACGTTCCAATGCCACCTTATTAACTATGTAATGGCTTGTTCATTCATTTTCTTTAGAGAGCCATAGATTTTCTGGGACATTTTGTCTGGTTGAAATAGACACACACAGAACAAAAACACTTTCACATTAAAAAAAAAAATAATTAAAAGTGATTATGAGTAGCTTACAAATGTGTCACTAAAAATATGGTGCATTTGTAATTGTAAGTGGAAAAAGTCTAATTTTAAGGGCCAGGAAGAGGAAAAGCGCCTTAAGACAATTACAGCACCATGTAACATTTGCAATGAAATGCACTTACTAACATATTTAACATCTAATTTCTTTCAAACAGCTCCCCTCTCTCATCCCTGCATAACAAGCCTTTCAATTAAAAAATAATAATTCCAGCAATTTTTAAAGAAAGAATGAAATATCTCAAGTGTCTCTAAATTAACAAATAACACTTACTCCAGACAGCATTGCCTTTAGCAGCTCCTAAAAACTTAAGAAACGGATCTTAAAACAGGAAGCTTAGTGAGCTCATAAAACTGTTGTTGGAGCCAGGAACACATAGCATATTTAATCTGCAAACTGTGAGAGTCTACAGTGATTTCAGCAAGATCTGAGGCATGCCCTTAAGGTTTGCTGGGATCTGGGATTAGGGGGTTGATAAGAACCTCTACTGCCCATGGACATGTTTTTCTTCTGCACTTAAACACAAATGCACAGAGACGTTTGACTGCTGCTTGGCGTTACTGCTCAAGTTATATAAAAGCTTGCAGCTCCTTTTGCTGTCAATATATCAAAGTTTAAAAAAAAAATCATCAAAGTGTGAAATTTCATTTAAAGTCTTCACCGGTCTACAGCTCTATTTCACAGGCCCATCAAATAAAAGTAAAGATGAAAAATACACTGAAAGTACTTGAAAAAGTTTGCAGCAGTGCCCCTGCCCTGTTGTTGTTTATTCTGTCTCCATCTCTTTGCTTTGAAACTAGAACAAATCAATTTTCATCTAGAAAAATGACAACATAGAGTGAAGGGCAGCAACTTCTACTCGGCTTTAATTAAAAGACAACCTGAAGGGAATCTTTTGCTTAACAAATTAAATACACACACATTCCCTCTCTATCACTTCAGCATTTTAATTGCCTCTCATATATAAGTTGGCAGAAAATTTCTTGACTCTTCCAAAACAAATCAGATTGACTATAGAATATGAACGCCAGCAAAACTAAAACCTCCTTCAAAGAATTCTTTAGCTGGGGATTTACAACAATTGCATAAAGAAGAAAAGTCTGACTTTTAAGATAATCTACTATAGTCTAAAAGCATTAACATTCCATTACTAAGGTTTTCTTGAGGATTTCATGACTCATTGATTCACTTCTCCTTCAAGACTGGTTTTTCCTAGTACATTACTGTCTCTATAAGTGAGTGCATAGAACAATGATCATTAAATTGTTTCCTTTCATAAACTCCCAAACCCTAACTTCAAAAACTGAGGGCAGGATGATCTTAGAGAGTAGGATACCTTACACAGAAGGAAGGACCTCTAACTAGCTAAGAAAACACAGAAGTCTGAAACCCTTACAACATGCAGATAATTAAGAAAACTGGCCTCGAAACAAAGGGAAGTTAAACTTTTAGGCTTGGGGATCAAACTAATAAATTAATGACTCTTTCATTAAATAAGTAATGAAATAACTCAACAAAGTCATTTTTCATCCGTACTCATTTTCTCACTTCTGTGTGTAGTTCTTTGCAAACCAGACATACAATAAAATGTGTTTATACCAGGGTTTAATCAAGGAATACAAACTCGTTAAAGGTACCGGGAATTGGTAGGTATCTGAGTTGGACCTACTATTAATAATAATATAACCTACACCTTTTAAAAGGTGTTTCACAAGACACCTCTCACATTCATTCGACTCATTAAGGCATCTTAAACCAAAGCTTCCCTAGGCTGACTTTAAGAATTATATACCCTGAAAGGATACTCCCTTAGGCAGGGAGTTTTTAATTAAATAGCTTTTAGTATAATATAAATCCTCTTCTCTTTATAAGTATGCTGTTACAACTAATTTATATATTATTTCATGTTTGTTTTAGGTATGACTATAGTCCAACGGGCCAAAGTGTTTGCATACCAGGTTGTTAAGACCAATATTTCCTAACATAAATTATTTCAATACTTCACACAGTTTACATTAAGACCGATCACTACTGCCTTATATCCCCACAACTGAAATACTGTTATGCCTTAGAAAAAAAAAATGAAGAGATTTTTAGGTTATTTCACTACTTTAAAACATAGCATTTTCCTCTTTCAAAATAATCTTGACACATGTAATTAAGAAACTGTCAGACTATTATTAATTTTTAATTTAAAACCTAAATGAAATAATTACAGGAATCAATCAATAAGGCACCTATTCAAATTACAGAGCAATTACATAAATACTCAAAATTAATACTTTAGGCCAATTCTTGACAATTTCAGTCTATAATATGCTAAGACATCAAACAACACAATAAGCATAACATGGGAAGGATGAATAGTTCCTGCCTTGGACTAAAATGAAATCATTTCAGTTGGCCAAGCAGAGCTCTCCACTCCCCTCCCCCCTTACCCCCCACCAGCCATGCCCAACCCACTCAAGCTACAACTCTTTTTAAAAGTTAATTTATTTCCACAAGACACATATTTCAGAGATCTAAAAAATCGCCTCATCCAAATTCTGTACAAAATCACATGGTGGGGGGGAAGCCTAATTATTGTGACTTTCCAGCAAAGTGCTCTGGAAAGAGGAATTGGGGGAAAGGAAAGGAGAAAGGAAAGCAGGAGGTGTTTTTTAGAACTAATCATACCAGCCCGGTTCATGGCACTGACTTTTCACAGTAGCCAGCCCTCCAGCCCTCTGAGAGGGACCAAAGTTTTGCCACTACAAAATATGCCTTTTGGGATATTGATTTTTAAGTTAGTTATAAAGCAATGAAAGGCTCAGGAAAAAACCTTGGACCCTCCCTCCCACTTGCCTGCCTAAAGGAATTCAGATAGAAAAACCTGCTTTAAGGATGGGAGCAGCAGCATAGCATCATCATACAAAGTAAATGTGGTTGACAGGGAAAAATACAGCAAAGCCTGTGTTTTGGATATTCCTCTATGTCCAGTTCTTTCTGGGTGGCCCAGCAAGAATTTGTTTACTACGTGTTTGCTCTTCCTCATCTACCTGTAAATTGCCTGCTTTCCTTTGGAAATCTCAGTCCCCTGCCTCCCTCTCCTTTGTCCAGAATGGCACATAAACCTCAACAGCCTAATGCCTCCTTGGGTCTCATATCTTATGGCACCCTTGAATATACATCTGTGATAAATTTGGACTTTTTTCTCCCCCTGTTAATTTGTCTCGTGTTAATTTGATCATTAGCCCAGCTAGAAGAACCTAGAAGGTGGAAGGAAAAATTCTACTTGGTCCCCAAACCTCTGACTAAAGGGCTCTTTTACTTGGAGATGAGGACAGTCCATCATTTCAAAACTGAAATGGCAGCTGGAAAATGTGGAACAGCTGGCAAAGAGCTGGGAGAAAATGTTTTACATAAATACATGTACATATAAACTGGCAGAGGGCCATGAGCACTGTACCCAAGGCCAGAATCTATTGGGCCACTGCACACCAGGGAGAGGAGAAGTTGGGAGGCCAGAGAACTGCAAGGAGGATGGATGCCTCCTGAAACCTCTTTCTGCCAGGGGTCAGCCAGGGAAGCCTGGGTCCAGCCTCGCTAGGAGTCCGGCCTCTCCGGGGCATCTCCGGAAGCAGGTGCAATCGGGGACAGGACCACAGAGTCGAGGGAAGGGGGAAAGGCCCGGGTGTGCAGTGGTGCTTCGGCAACTGGCAGTCTGCTTTAAAAGTCGCTTCACAAAGTCTCCAAGTTTGGGGCAAATATTTACGCCCTCTACCCTCCTCCCGCCCATTTCCCCTCCTAACTCAAGAAAGTGACTGTCCCCTGCAGAGCGGTTCCTGCACAACTCTGTGCAAAGGCGGCCGCTTAAGTGATTATTGCAGGGGGCACGGTTATGTACACCCCCCGCACTGACTCCCTGCAGCTTCTAACGCTTTTCTCTCTCTTTTCTTTCTTTTTATTGTGTGTGTGTGTGTGTGTGTGTGTGTGTGTGCTGTCCCTGAAAAAGAAAAGAAATGAAAGAATCCCAAATCATCTACAGATGGTACAACTTTCACTTTTCCTCTATTACAACGGAGGCGCGCCTCTCCCCGGGAGCACCCCGCTCCCCCGCCCTCGGAAAGGAGGCGCGGGCTGGACGCACCCCCGCAGCCGCGAGCCCCGCGCGCCCCACCGGCCGCCCGCCGCGCCGGGCACCCGAGGGGGGTGAATCGGGGCGCAGTCGGGCGCCCAAGCTTCGGGGTCTAAGGTAGTTCCTCTCCACCCTTGAGATGGGGGGTGGGGGGTGCGGTGCGCCCATGCAACTGCTGTAAACTTCGTCCCCCTCTGGGATGTGCAGTTCTCCAGTCCGTCTCCGGATCCCGAGGGGTCAGCCACTTGGAAAGGGAGCTTCCAGGAGGAGGAAGCGAAGGAAAGCCCGGCTCTGACGCCTTACCCATTGGCTCTGTAAAGCGGGGCGCCTTTGACAGCCATTTTCGCTTCCTCCCGTCCCCCCGATTGGAGACCCCTCGGGACCTGGCAGCGCCGGCGCGGCCGCAGGAGCCGGCTGGCCCGTGCGGGGCCCGCGGAACAAAGAACTTCGGGCGGGACGTACCTGCGGCGGCGGCGGCTGTCAAGTCCCCTAACTTCCCGGACACCCGCGTCCCGGGCGCGGGCGGGCGGTCCCGGCTCCGCGAGGCGCGGGGCGCCGGCCGCTCGGGCGGCGGCGGGCGGCGGGGCTGGGCCCGGAGGGTGCGGGCCGCCGGCGGAGCGGCGCGGGCGGCCGCGGGGAGGGCGAGTCGGGGCGGCGAGTGTGCGCGACCGCGAGTGAGGAGCGCGCCCGAGGAGCAGCCCCTGCCCGCGCCCTCCCGCCCCGGCGGCTCCGGCATCGGTTTCCAGGACCGTGTAACCCGATCCCGCCTGACTCACAGGCCTGAGTGACAGCTCTGATTTGGTGAACCCACGGGAAGGAGGGAGCAGGGGGAGAGAGCAGGCCCCCGCGGGCGCCTCTCCGGGCATCCAATCGACTTTCTCCCCGAGGGTCCCGGCCCCGTCCGGGAGCCCCGCGCGGGACCAGGAGCCCCCGCCCCGGCCCGGCGCCGCCCGCGCTCCTCCCGCGGCGGAAAAGTTGTCCCTCGGCTCCGCGCGCCCCTCCCGCCAGTTCCCTCCTTCCCTCCTCGCCTCTTCCTCCTCCTCCTCCTGCAGCCCGTGCTCCTCCTCCCCCAAGTTTTAACAGATGTTGCGGGACTCTCCCCTCACCCTCGTCTCCCTCTTCCCCCGCCCCGGCCCTTTCTTTCTGCCTGGCGGCCCCTCTCCGCGCGGTGGGGACGCGCGGCGCAGCTGGAGCCGCAGGGGGCGAAGTTGGGAAAACTTAAGAGCGCAGCTCGCCTTACTTTTGCTTCCTCGCTCCTTCCAGGCCGAGCCGCGTCCCCGCGCCCGGATCGGTTCCTACGGCGATGCGGGCGGTGCTGGCGAGGAGGCAGCGCGGCCGGGGTCGGGGGCTGGGGGAGCCTGGGCGCCCCAGCCACGCGCGCGCCTCCCCCCTGCGCCTCCTCCGCCTCCCGCGCCTCCCGCGCCTCCTCCGCCCCCTCCGCCTCTCCGCGGTCCTCACACAGACACATTCAGGCCTGCTCCTCCTCTTCCCCCTCCTTGACCCCGCGCCCGCTCGGCGCGCCGAGGCCCCACCCACCCGGCGAGGGGAAGGGGGCCCGGGCATGATGTCACGGCCGCCCTCCCCGCCTTTGCTAGCGGCACCGCCGGGACGCCCTCGCCGGCTTCCACCCCAGCGCCCCGCGCGGGGGCTGCGTCCTGCCTGTTCCCTTTGCTTCACACCCCGCCTCTCCGCTCCCCTTTTCTCTCGCTCACAGTTTGGGCCCCCTTTCTTCTTTTCAAGCCTCTCTGAGGACACCCCCAAAGGCTCCCCCTCTACTTTTACATTTTCCAAGGCCAGCCGTGAACCTCTCTCTCTCATCACCAGAGGATGCTTTTGGAAGTTCTTGGTATTCCTTTCCGCCCAACTCATCTGTCCTTGGGGCCAAAATCTGGGAAGTGGGAACTCCCACTGCACAGCTTGCTGTCCCCATGGGCCACTTTATAAAGGACACAGAAACAAAGCCCCCCCCCTTCCAATCCCCCCCACCCCCCACCCCCGGTTTGGAACCTGAACTCCAACGTGGTGCTTTTCCCTGAGCTACAAAGTTTCTCCGTCCCTGATTTCTTTTCAGCGGCCCATACGAGTAAAAATTATATTCCTCCTTCCTCAAACAGCCAGCCCACATTCATCTGCACCCTTTCAATGTATCCAACCTGGACCCAGGACTTGAAAAAGGAGTTTCCATGGGGGCTTGGGGGGAGGGGGAGACAAAGGAAGCAAAAGAAAGAAAAGGAAACGGCTGTGGCATTCCAAAATCTATTCTCCTGGGGTAAACTGAGCTTCTACCCACCTGCCCTCCTACCCTCCCGCAGTGCCTGGGAGCTCCACGTGCTCTTGTGTTGACTGGCTGAGCCTCCTGACTGAAGGCAGAGAGTGGGTAGATGAAAGATTCGCTATTATGATTTGGAGAGCATTTTGGGATTCAAATGTTTAACTGGAGAATTTTTCAACAGAATTGATGGTGGCATTCACCGTTTGTTTCCTGGGACTTGTTGCTTATCTCAAAGACGGGACAAAAGCAGGCTCTGACTTAGGCTTTTATGGTAGAAGTGGTGGAGATACAGTAGGCCTGAAGGTCCTTTTTAGGTATTTATTTTAAGATTCCTCACTGGACCTCACCCCTCTTGAAAGGAAGAAAAAAAGATAGAAAAGAAGAAGGAAGGAAGGCAAAGAGAGACAGGAAGGAAGAGAGGAAAAGGGAGAGAAAAGAAACCCACAACTTACTGTACAGAGCCAGGGTTCATGGGGGGTGGGCCCAGCTTCCCCTCACTAACCGGCCTCAAGCCCTGAAAGATTGATTCTTTGAGCCCATCTGTGGGATGGTCATACCTCCAGGCTGCATGCCTCCCAGGATTGATATGAGTTTTCAATGAGATAATGCATGTGAAAGTGTCAAGGGACACAACAGTGTAAAAATTGTATTTATACTTTTACAATTGCAGAGAATTAAAAGCCACTCTTTCCCACACATAAACTCCTCCAACATCAGCCACAGATTTGTTTGTATTCAAGTCCTGCTTCTGCCTCAATCGTATGAATGCAAATACATTCTGATAGCATCCTCTGTTTACCCAATGGCAAAAAGTAAAGAAAAAGAAAGACAGCCAATAAATCAACAACTTGAATAAACTAGATGTTTTGACTTTTACTTTTAAAAGTCTTTAGCCGATTTTGGATCATGAAGATCTTGATTCTCTTGTTTTAGAAAGAGAAGAATAAAGAAAAACAGTTGATCTGTCCCCTTACATCCATCCGAATAGTTACAAACAAAAGAGGGGAATGATGCTGGTGTAGGACTCCTGTGTGTCCCCTATTTCCTCTCCTTAGATTCTTGGCAGCTCTCGGCTTGAGTGGTGAACATATATGTAAGTGGGCACATTCTGCAGAAATGCAAAGGGAAAAATCATGGGTAGCCTTAGTGCGAGTTAAATAGTGCCGTTCTCTTTTAACACAAGAACTCTTTTTCACAATGAAATCTTATATGGAATCCCAAAACATAAAAGAGAGCTATTCTGGTTGCAGCTGGAGTGGGCTCTCAGAGCCCAGCCCCTCAGCCTTTCTCTTGTCACCCACCCCCTTTTCTGCAATGGCTCCGGAGACGTCTCTAAAAATCCCAAAGGAACCCTGAAAGTCAGTATGGGAACCTTTCTTGTAATTTTAAAGTGCACTTACAGACTTACAGGGCTCTGATACTGCCCTTCCTCCACGTGCAAAATTCCACCATTATAGATTCATTTATTGCCATCTCCCATCAGTTCTCTTTTTAAATGAAAATCTTCTAGGAAATTTTAATATAGTGAATCCTCAAAACGATTAAGGGTATAAGATAGATTTTTGAGGGGAGGGGGCAACAAATTGGATGAAGTAGGAGACATGAAGATACGTGTATTAGTGTTCCTAGGGTTGACACAAAATGGGTGGCTTAAAACAACAAAAATCTATTGTCTCAAGTTCTAGAGGCTAGGAGACCAAAACCAAGGTCTCGGGGGGGGGGGGGGGGGGCATGCTCCCCCTGTAACCTCTGGGGGAAGATCCTTCCTTGCCTCTTCCCAAATTCTGGTGGTGTCTATCAGTCCTCGATATTTCTTGCCTTGCAGCTCTTCACTTCTGTAGTCATATGGCATTTTCCCTTTGCTAGTCTCTGCTCTTCCTACACCAGTCATACTGGCTCAGAAGCCCACTCCACTCCAGCGTGACCTCCTCTTAAGGAAGTACATCCACAGCAACCCTGTTTCCAAATCAGATCATATGCCGAAGTTCCAGGTGTTACAACTTCAACATGTCTTTTGATCACTGGCCCTTTAAGAGTTGGTCCTTCTGTATGAATATCTTACCAACTTTCTTTTTGAAAGTAGCTTAGATTTGCTTAGCAACCTTTTTTCTCCTTAAGGATTAGTATCTCTTCTGTGCTCCCAAACCTAAGACAGTGAAGGCTCTTTTGATGGAAATACACACGTTGCCCCGCAGCCTTACAGTGAAGCTGTTACTGTTAGGCCAAGCCTATCTGCTGCATGCTTTCTGCACTTCTGGTGAGTTATTTCCCAGGAGCCTCCACTGTCTGGCATGCAAATAGACTCCTTGCTGACAACATAACCAGCCCAACCAACATTTCAAATGTTTCTGAATTACAGCAGATAACACATTTTTAATGCTGAAACTAGGACTTTAAACATCTATGTATGTATGTAAGTATGTCTTTTGGAAGTTCATACGTGCCGGTTGAGACACTCCTTCTCTAAGGATTCTCACCACTTTGAAAAATGGTGGGAATTGAAATACAGTGTTGGCTGCATTTGAGAACTGTAGTCCAAAACAAAAAATAAGGTTTCTTAAATTCATTCATGCTCCCCCTGACTGACCTGGCACCTGAGATCAGCTGGAGAAGGCATAACTCACTCACAGCAAGGAAGCCCTGACTTGTAGAGCCACCTCGTGAATGTGAGTACAAGGAGAGAGGGAACCTGGCTCCTGCAGGTGTACAGGAGAGACAGAGTAAGAATCAAGGTCCCAAGCTCCAGAGTCCTCCGTCTCCCTCCTCTGTCTTCCCCTGCAGGCCCTGACCACTGATTCCCACACGGAGCTGCTCTGACTTCCTGAGCACAACTCTAGGCCCATTCAGAGTTCTTGCTGGCCCCTCTCATTTCCCAGGCATACTGATTTTGCATTTGGGTGGCTAAGGATCGACCTGCATCCCACCAGCCAGTGTACACATGGGGAAAGTCCTGTACAGGTCAATTCTTAGCCAACCAAATGCCCCAGGGAAGGAAGCTTTCCCTGAGGTGGTACAGAGTGCATGGCCCTGAGCTTCCCATGCTGACGGGCTGGTTGCCAGAGAGGGAGAATGCTTTTAAGTGCATCACACAGGTGCCCTTCGAGGGTCTCTCACTCAGCACCCACGTAACTTATGCTTCCATCTTCCTGGAACATTGGGATTATAAATGTAACCCAGATGTTGACTATTCACCTTGGAGATGTAGCTATTATTGGCTTGGACCTTAGCCAATCCCACAAGTTGGGAAGACCTAAAACCCTCCCATTGCAGTTCTGCAGAATTCAGAGCCCCTGTGGATGCTACATGATAAGCTATACTCAGGCCCTTACTGGCCCCACAGGAAATCCACCCCCGCCCCCACCCCCTGCGGCAATGGGGTGAACTTGATAGATTTTACTGATGATTTGGGTAGCCCAAGGGTGATTTTCTCCATCCCTGTCTTTCAAAAATAGAGTTTCTCTTTGTGTCTCAAACAAAGCAGTTTAAGGACCAGTGTCTGTTTCTTAAGGTCTCACCTTCCTTTCCTCAGAGCTCGTGCGTGTGACATTCCGGTTTCATTTGCCCCTTCCACCTCTCTTTGCCCAGGGTCTGCTCTGCTTACTGTCTGTGATCGTCTCCCATCCACCTGGCAGTCATGCTCAGCACTTCTTTGAGTTTCCTTAAAGCTAAAGTAACAAAAGTGG